GGGGAAGGGAAATAGGAGGCCGCATGAATCTTTTTTTGTTCCCATGACATGCGCTTGTGCATATAACAAATAAACAATTAAATAAATAAATAAAGCAGGCAGAGGGGTAAAACCAACCTGAATATTTTATAGGGTATGAATCAAAACAGAAAATACCTGGGCATTGGCGTCTTTTCCACCGCCGCGACCGCCTAGTACCGTGCACACTTCGTTCACCCAGAGGTTTGCCTTCAAGCCTCCATCAACCAGTGACTGAAAAATCGCAGAATTAAGAAGGTAATTTATAACACTATTTCTTTAATAGGGGATAACCTGAACAAAATACAACTTTCTACTCACTTTGTCCACTTTGGCCAGTACGAGCACTTTTCCGCTATCTTCATTTACAGAGAATCCCATAACAGCCTTGGTGCTTTTCAGTTGTTTCAAAGCATTGTCAAGCGCCTGTGATTAGGAATTAAGAAAATCATAATGAAGGTTTTCGGGAATGAATAAACAAAAAAAGCACCTTGCTAGTTGCACCAGCTGTGAACACATGTACAACCACATCTTGATTACCGTTTTGAGCCAGCTCTTTAGCTTCGGAAAGAACCTGAACGAAAAATAAACTTTAACTTTGTTAACCGATTAGGAAAAAAGGGCGGAAAGGATCCAGTAAATGTAAAAAAAAATCCACAAAACAATCAACAATCATATCTTACCTTTTGACTCTAAGTATTGCCTCCCATTCCACAAATAAAAAGTGAAAGAACGTACTTTTTCAGCAATGGCCGCGTCTGCCTGTTTCTTATATCCATCTAGTGTTCTTTGTGCGGCCTTTCCTTGTTCCCGGATCTCATCCTTGCGCCAATACGGTAACTGTGCTCCGTTGACTTCCTAAATAGAAGAAGTAGAGAAAATACCAATAGAGAAACTTTTTCTCAGTTCGAATATTCCTGAGGTGGAGAAAACTGTCCCAATATCCCTGAGGACCTACTTGTCAAAACATAAATTTGGAAATTCGAATTCGCAGACAGCGGGAAGCTGCGAAGGAATAGAAGAAGCAGTAACTTTACAGAATAAAAGAAAACTCAGATGAACAATTTCTTACATCAATCAGCTCCTGGATTCGCTTCGACGTTGCTTTAAACTTTTCGGAATCCATCGCTATGTTCACATTTGCTTTAATTTCATCCGATATGGCCTGAAATGAGACGAATGGGTGTTTTATAGTGGCTATGGCTAAAAATGAGATCATTGGGTATTTCATAGTAATAGTATGCTTGAGTTCTGATCATAAGAAAAGCCAGTTACAATTGAGCTTAATCACTCTCGCGATTCTGCCCCGCTACTGGGTTTCCGGGTGTCTCGCGGGACTGGACTAATTTAGCTGCCTCTGAAGAAGGCGACCCGCCGAAACGTAAGCCAATAAAGTCTGCTTAAGAACCCCGTGGAGAGCTTAACAGAAGATATCAGCCAGCAGTAATTATTATAGGCGAGCTCGGCAAGAAACCATCAATGGACGAAGAAACCACAAAAATCCGGACCAATCGGAAACAACGATTGGAACAACCGCAGCCTTGGTAAAATGGCCAAGCACCTTAACAACGATAGGAGATAAACAGAGAACGGGACAAGGTAAGTAGCAAATAAAAAGGACATTTGTTCTAAAATCGAAAGCCAAAATGGAAGTCACCACTGACTTGAGCTCTTGCAGCCAGTCTTTCTGCTCGATGTATTGCTCTCTCGGCTTCCGGTCCCGATAATGCTACTATACGACGGAATTCCCTTAGCAATTGCTTCTTCTGGATGAAATTACCATATGACCGATATGTCCAACATTGTGAAGATGTCTACAAAGTAAATATCGACTTAACTCAATCTTATCCATTAAGTTGGAAAGCCAGTAACAACTACACTCACGTTCCGCCACAGAATTCCACAGTAGTCTTCAAACCGGCACCGCTCTTCGGATTCGCTAGAAGTTCTTCTACGGGTACTCCGACGCAGACACCGACGCACACCACTCTTACCGGATCCGGGTAATTCTAAAGAAAGCGATGACTAAATTTCAAACATGAATTGATAGCTGTGAAGTGTACCTCATCAAACATGGCTCTCAGTCCGGCAATTTCACGAGCTTGTGGTAGCGGGGCCTCTTTGGCATAGACGGGTTCACGTGTGTTTACGATCGACTGCACAATCTCTTCGGCTTCTTTTACCTGTATAGCAGAGAAATAATAACATTGCAATACCTCAAGTCAATGTGAGAAGCGGAAATGAGCGGAAATTAACCTGCTTGATTGTCATCGCCTGTTTGTTGGTGAAATCAAATCGAAGCCGATCTGGTGCTACCAGTGACCCTTTCTGATCGGAATCGGTCAGCACACACCGAAGAGCGTGATTCAGCACATGGGTAGCTGTGTGGTTTTTCATAATGAGCGCACGACGTTCCTAAGAAAAAGGATGAATATGACAGACCACTTACTCATTAATTACTTTCCTACTTACTCCATCAAAGATTTGTTCTACAGTATCTCCTACTCTCAAAACTCCGTTTGTTGAACCGACAAGGACCACGTATCCGCCACGAACTTGACAATTTGTGACGACAAATTCTGCGCCCTATAAATAGGATTTCAGGTCGTAAGTGCGCGAAAAGTGGACGGCAGGCCTGTAAGGCTAAACAGGCTCGAAAAGATAAGGAAATTGAAAAAGTTACCTCATCATCCGCAGAGATTAGTACTCCTGTATCGTAGATCTGTCCACCTTGTTCTGCATAGAAATTCGTCTTGTCAAGCACTAAAGCCCCCTCAACACCGGCCTCTATGGAATCGACGAATTTTCCGTCAGAACGAATGGCAAGAATCTTGCCGGTACACGTCTCGAACGCTGGAATCTCAATGTAACCATAGCTTATCAGAGATCAGGGGCACAAAAAATTACTCACTATACTTAGCAGTTCCATCGTTAGGTCCGTCAGCCTTGTATTTGTACTTGTACGAATCATCCGTTGTAGGGATACCTCGCTTCTGCAGTTCAGCAAGTGCATGGACGTCAAGATCGAGCGTGTCACGGAATTTCCCGGTTCCAGCAGCCGACAGTTCCTAAAAAAAACTCTACGAAAAGGAAGTATTCACTCTAGACCCTTTTATCCCAAACAGCGATATATCTGAGAGAATGCCCTGAACTATCTTCAAATTCCGCAACTTGTAATAATATTTTTGAGGATTCAGACTTAAAACTAACCACTGCTTTCTTCCTGCACTCCTCAAAAGCTTTTCTGGTCTACACTTAGCCCTTTCTCCTCTGCCATAAGTTGGGTCAAATCAGCAGGGAAACCGTACGTGTCGTATAAACGCCAGGCTACGTCACCTAAAACGGACTTGGTCAAGACAAACCATGTGTTATCTCTTGGAGACAATTTACTTAAATTTGAAATGCATAATACAAAAACGGTTGCTGACCAGGGAAGGTTTTCTCATCAGTTCCTAGACCTGCGACAGCACGTTGGAACAGCCTACGACCACGCAACAACGTTTTCAAGAACTGTCTCTCCTCATCGTTGATGATATCTCGTACCGTTTCAGGATCACGGCGAAGCTCGGGGAAAAAAAGAAAGTCCTCCACCCTGAACAGGTTTTTTGATGAATTGAAAATGACTGAATAAACGTCCCGGCTCCGCCGTTTTCGGAACGGGAGAAAGACTGTCTTGGGAAAACATGCGCACGCAGAGGGTTTGGTGGTGGTGGTGCCTCGTCACACCGCCCCCCTCCCGAAAACGGTCAGGCTATATTGAAAAACTGCTTACTAAAATCTCTACAACAACTGGAACTAGGGAAGCGAAGAACTCAGGCTGAGCATTCAGTTTCTCAGTAGCATATCGAACACCATCGTCGAAGAACGCGGCGCAATACATAACTAAAGACGGAAAACGAGACTAAAAAGCTTTTCCAACTTGAGTTCGCTTCAACATACCCTCTTCCAGTATTGTCAGGACGACCGCCGTCTGACAGGGCTATTGTCAGTGTTCGAATATGATCGGCCACAACACGATAGGCCCATATCAATTCCGTCAACATCATCAGCTCCAACTTTACCCGGTATAAGGTCGGGTTCCTGTTCCCTGAATCAAATTTAATCAGTACGCGGTTATCTTTAGCTTAAATTTATTTATTTATTTATTTATTTAACTATTGTACAGCGGTGACAAGGAGGAATGGTACACAGGTTGACGACAGTTACAATAGAAAGGAACAGAACAGATGAAAGTTATAAATTGTATAATAAAATAATTATAAGATAAACAATGTTAAATAATTATAAAATGAACAATGTAGTGACATAAGGGGTCAGGTGGGAGGGGGATGGGTGGGAAGAGGAGACCATGGCTCGCTAAGAGAAGGAAGGGCAGTGCCCGGCCAAACACTGCAAGCTCCCAGGCGGCTTGGGGCCCCGGATACCAGCTTAGTAGGTCCGCCAACCTCCTCTAAGGAACCAAGGCCACCTTATGCTGTATGGGGTGGACAGAGGTATTACAGAATCGGGAAGGAGGAAATTCACATGAAAAAATGAGGGCATATAAAATAGAGAATGCATAAAAGTTAAGAAAAAAATTAACTACACAAGGATAAAGAATTACAAAAGAGTTTAATTTTCTCATATACCTCTTTGTAATTTGCTTATCTATCTACGACAAAAAAATCGATGACCAACTCGACGTCATTACATTGGAATTTTATAATCAGTTGAGGCACTGACGTTCGCAAAAGACTGAGTAAAGGCGCTTACCTCTTGGATGGCTTTAAAGATAGGCTGGAACATATCCGTGTCATAATTGGACGTCTTCTCTTGAATAACAGCAATCAATCGTTCTAATCCAAGACCACAATCGATATGCTTGGCAGGAAGAGGACGCAGATCACCACCCTCTTCTCTTAAGAACAAATTTTCCCAAAATTGACGTGAAAACCGGAAAGAGTAAAGAAAAGCACCTATTGAACTGAATGAAAACCAGATTCCAGATCTCAACTACCATCGGGTCATCAGCATTGACCAAGTGTGAAGCATCGCGACCTCCGATTCGGTCAAAATGAATCTCCGAGCAAGGACCACACGGTCCTACGTCGCCCATTTCCCAGAAATTGTCCTTCATTCCGAACGGTAAGACACGATTGTCCGGTAATCTAAATCAAGAATGACTCCATCCGTTTCAGCCTAGTGAAGAACAGGTAACGACCAACCCGAGACTGAGCCATATACTTCCTGGCCTCCTCATCTGCCGGTATGCCAGTCTTCTCGTCTCCGCCAAAGTAAGAGACGTACAACCTTTCAGCTGGGATTCCGTAGACTTCCGTCAGAAGCTCCCAAGCCCAGGTGATGATCTCTTTCTTTAAGAACAATCAATCATTCTAATGATAAAGTGTACTTCTTTCACCAAACATCAGGAAATAGAAATAAATTCAACGAAAAAGAAGTAATCACCTTGAAATAGTCTCCGAAAGACCAGTTTCCAAGCATCTCAAAGAATGTGTGATGGTAGACATCCTTCCCTACATCATCCAGATCGTTATGTTTTCCTCCAGCACGGATACACTTTTGCGTGTTCACAGCACGTTTTAATTTAGCCAGATCACTGTTGGGATCAGCGATGCCAAGGAAAAGTGGTTTGAACTGAAAATGAGGACGAATGAAAACAAAGAAAAAGCTACGTTGACAAAACTTGGACTCAAGAGCGCTCCTAGTTCCACATTCCAACGTCTCTTCAAAAAAGTTCTATTTTATAACAGATAAGGGCTCTCGTGTAGTTAAGGGAGAGGGGATTTTGAAACGCTTAGAAAACAATACTATCCTAGCTTCCCTT